AGGAGTGGCTGGTGGGTTTGAACCGCCAGCCTTCTGGTTAGCAGTCAAGTGCTTTAGCCACTATGTTACCAGAGCTCCTTTGCACCACTTAGGGACTCCTAATACATCATAGCAGTTGTTACTTCTGCCAAATCTTCTTTTTTGAAAATGGGATTAATCCTTTATGTTCAACCTCAGGGCTCCCTCACAAGATGTCCTATCCTTGGACCTTCCTACTCTAAATCACAGCTTACTAAACACAATGCTTCAGAATCCAGACCTCTGAAATCTCAGTTGGGGAACTCAGATCTCCTGGCCTTGTTTTCTAGAAATCCCATGTTCTTCTCCTTCCCTTTTCTTTTCCAGTATCTTCCCACAGACCACAAGGGGTCTTCTGGGTGAAGGACAAGCCTCAGTGGATGCCCCTCTCACCCAGCTCTGGGCCCTCTGAGCATCTTCCCAAGGACAGCCCCAAGACCCTTACCTTTCATGAGGATGTCCTCTGTCAGCGGGAGGCCATAGGACTCACAGAGTTTCCAGCACTTCAGGTAGACCAGAAAGTTGTCTCTGCGGGACTTGTTGATCAGCTCCCCCATGTCACCACGGATTGTGGACGGGAGGCAGTTCTCATCAAAGTGCCTGTTCCCACTGCGGACCAGGCGGCACTGTTCTGAGTACTGGATGGAGGGGATGGAGAGCTGCAAAGAGAGACCCAGTGAGCCACATTCTTCGCCTTGCCTCTTTCTGTCTGGCTGGAAGGCAGGGGTAAGCCACATCTCCATTGCCCAAATGACCCCATGAAAGCAATGGAAAAGAATACCAAGTGTGGCCAAAGCTCAGGTTCTAAGGCCAAAGACCCAGGAGAAGGTCACTCATGGTCAAAGTTAGTCCTGGAGAGCTCTGAAGTGTGACCCCAACCACTGATGTGCAAGGATGACTACATGACACATCCAGTGATGCACAGTACAGATGCTTGGAGGCATCCTATTGAAAAATTAAGGTCAAGAATATGGCTGTGTGGGAGTTCAAGTTTGACCTGCAACCTTGAAGTGGAAGCCACCTGCTAAGGATGGCAAAGCAAGGTTGAAGGAGTCTGGGGACTGTGTAGCCACTTTGGCCTTCTTTTTCTTTTTTTATAAGTAGAAACACCTCTCTTTGTTTACACTTCTAACACCAGAGTTAGTAAAGTAGGACCCATAGGCCAAATCTGGCCCACCACCTGTTTTTGTAAATAAAGTTTTATTGAAACACAGCCACACTCATTTGTCTATGTATTGTCTATGCCTGCATTTGTGCTACAATGACACCATAATGTCATTGCAACAGAGATCATATGGCCTCCAAAACCCCAAATATTTACTATTTGGCCCTTTATAGAAAAAATTTGCCACCCCCTCCTGCATTATTTTGGTTCTCTTGTCATGCAACTGAATCAAATCTTAAATGCTGTAGTACTTAAAAATATCTGACATTTTATTGTGTATATAATATATATATAAATATATATTTATGTTTGTGGGAGCTCTGGTGGCATAGTGCCTAAGGCATTTGACTGCTAACCAGAAGGCTGGTGGTTCAAACCCACCAGCCACTCCTCAGAAGGGAAATAGGACAATCTACTTCCATAGTGATACCGCTTTGGAAACCCACAGAGGGGTCACTATGAGTTGGGTCTGACTCAACAGCAGTGAGTTTGTTTTTTGGTTTTTGTCATATATTTATATTATAAAACCCTATGAAGCACAGCTTTACTCTGACACACATGAGGTCACAATGAGTCAGAATTGACTCCATGGCAAGTGCTTTTTCTTTTTTCAAATACAGTATTATATTTACTATATTGTTGTTGTTGTTATGTGCCATCGAGTCGGACTCGACTCATAGCGACCCCTCCTTGGGTTTCCGAGGCAGTATCACTACGGAAATAGATTGCCCCATCTTCCTTCTGAGGAGTGGCTGGTGGGTTTGAACCGCCAGCCTTCTAGTTAGCACTCAAGTGCCTTAGGCACTACGCTACCAGAGCTCCCATATTTACTATATATTTGTATATAAAACCAGTCCAGTTGTTGTAGAGTCAACTCTGACTCATAGTTACCTCATGTGTGCAGAGAGTAGGACTGCCCCATAGGGTTTTCAAGGCTGTGACCTTTCAGAAGCAGATGACTAGGCCTTTCTTCCAAGGTGCTTCTGGGTGGGTTTGAACTGCCAACTTTTTGGTTAGGAGTCAGCACTTACCATTTGTGCCACCAAATACAGTGTTATGTTTATTAAGGAGCTCTGGTGGCACTGTAGTAAGGCATTCAGCTGCTAACCAAAAGGTTGACGGTTCAAAACCACAGCTTCTTCTCCACAGGAAAAAGATGAGGCAGTCAGCTTCTGTTAAGATTTATAGCCTTGGAAACCATATGGGGTTTCCTATGAGTCAGAATCAACTCAATAGTAGTGGGTATATTTATCACAGATTTGTTTATCTATATTATGTATTACCTGCCAATGACTAGACTGTGCACTTCTTGAGGGCAGAACTATTTTGCTCACTAAAGCACCTAAAAGATTGCCTGGCATATCATATACTCTCAATAACTATTTACTGGCTAAACTAATTCACCCAGTCTATCCATCCTTCCTTTCTTCATTATGTATTTCTGGAATGTGTGCTCAGTGCTAGGCCCTGTGCCAAGCATGCAGGTTCCAGTTGTAATGAAGATGCTGCTCTGGTCTTGGATGCAAAGTGCTAATGGAAAAAAGGGATTTTGATACTTTCAGAAGTATTACCTTATTTAATGTTCACAAAAACTCTGAAAGGTAGGTGTTATTATATAGCTGAGAACATGGGCTCAGAGAGGTCAAGAATCCCCCAGAGGCTGCTGCCAGCAGCAGGTGAGTGGGGTTAGCACCCAAGCCTGTCCAGCCCCACCCCAAACCTGCCCTTGGCTGTGGGGTACCTTGTGTAGCCGCCTCTTCTCACGGTGCCATTTGCCAACCTCCTCCATGTCCTCTAGGGTCATGGGCCTCACTTCCTTCTTCAAGTTGATCTTGGGCACAGTCAGCAGGTTCATCTTGGGAGGCTGCGGGGTTAGGCTTACCTTCTGCTTCTTGAGTGGACTCTGTAGGAATATGCTGCCTCTGGCTAACTGGATACCTAGTGGTGGCAGGGAGAGACGAAGAGAGGACTGAGGGGGCTGCCTAGCCTGGGGTCAGCCAAGCACTTAACTTGGTCAAGCAGGGCCAAGTTTTCTCTCTCCAGAGCTAGCTCGCCTTCCCGCATGTCAAATCAATGTCCCCTCTAAGACACACTTGAGCATGCCCTTTCTCCCACATCTACCATGGCCTTCCTAACCCAAGCTACGTGCTCTCACCTACTGCCATCCCCATCCTCTCCAATCCTGTTTCCACCAGATGGCAATAGGAGCTTAACAACATGGATATCAGAGCACCTCACTGTGCTACTTAAACCTCTCTAATGGTTTCCCATGGCACTCAGATTACCCCAGAAGTCCTTCCCTTGGTACACAAGGCCTGCGGAATCCGGCCTCACCTCCCACCTGACCTCATCTCCTGCCATGCACTCCTCACTTGCTCACCCCATCCCAGCCATAACGACTTCCTTCTGTCCTTGGAGACCTCCCCAGCTCAGGCCTTCTGCCATTACAGCTCCATGTGCTTAGGCTACCCTTCACCCTGACTGTCCGAGGACTGGTCCCTCCTCACTCGGGTGTTAGCACCAGTGTCTGATTCTCAGAGAGGCCTTCCCTATCTCGGTCAAGTGGACATTCGAACCTGGCCCTACCACCTTCTACTTTTGAGATTATGGACAACTGGCTCAACCTCTCTAAGCTTCAGCGTCCTCCTTGGTAACCCTGAAGAGGAATTCTGATCTTGAGGGATTTGGAAGGGCACACAGAGATAAGAAATCAGTCCGTCAAGTCAATTCTGAATCACAGCAACTTTATAGGACAGAGTAGAACTGTCATAGAGGGTTTCCAAGGCTGTAAACATTTACCGAAGCAGAGTGCTTCATCTTTCTCCTGTGGAGCAGCTGGTGGGTTCAAACTGCCAACCTTTTGGTTAGCAGCCAAGTGCTTAAACAATGCACCACCAGGGCTCCTAACAGAGATAATGCTGAAGGTAAATAATGAGATAATTCTTCCAATAGTCTGGTGGGCGGGCGGGGGGGGGGGAACAGATAGGAGGGTAAACTGAGACAATGCTGCAGGCCCACAGAGGACACCCTACATGGTCCTGCCTTCTCTCTTCAGAGCCACTGCACTCAAATGCCAGATGCTGCTTTTAGTCAGAGCACCAGAAACCACTTGCCATGGTGTTGACTCCGACTCACGGTGATCACATGTGTGTCAGAGTAGAACAAGGTTTTCAATGGCTGATTTTTCAGAAGTCAATCACCAGGCCTTTCACCAGGTACCTCTGGGTGGACTTGAACTCCCAACCTTTGGGTTAGCAACTGAGTGGAATAACCATTTGCGCCACCCAGGAACTCCTCAGTATACTCTAAATATGGGTTAATTCTGGTTTTTGAACATGAAGTTTCAGTTAACTTTTGATCAATAACACGCAGATTCATATAGTAAGAAGGCCTGGGACCCACATACAAATGAAAATCTCTGGAAAAGCTTACTAAGTTTGGGTCAGTTCCCACCTATCTGGCAGACAAAGACCACCTCTGGAAATCCTCTTGTAAAGAAGAAGGCCCCTTAGGTGACCTCTGGGCCTGAAAATTCCAGAGAGTTGGCTACCTCACAGTACCCCAAAGCTGAAAAGCACCCTCAGGAGGTGAGTATTGGGAGGAGAGCTCAAGGCCTCATCATCACAGACCCAGGGCAGGGTACATACTCTCCCTTAAGGCTTTCTGGCTTCTCCTCTGCTGAGCCAAGGACCACTGCTTGTAGGTGCTGGCCAGGACATCTGTCGTGATGGTGTTGAACTTCCCCAGAGAGCTGAGGTAGATCACTATGTCTTCCACCTCCTGGCTATTCAAAGGCACTCCTGCCTGAGGACAGAAGAGAAGACCCTAGGCCAGCAAGCTCCAATCCAAATGCCCTGCCAGCCCGACCCCTCCTACCCTTCTAGAATCATCCTTGGCCACTCTCATGTTACACCCAGTGTCCCTCCACAGACCTCAGAGCCTCTTCCATTCCCTAAACACACCCCACACTTTCTCACTTTCCATCTTTGCTCAGGAGTTCCCTTGCTGCCTGAAAAACTACTATCCCTCTTTCAAAGCCTAGTCCATCTTCATAGGGTCAGTTTACTTCTTTCTCTGGGTTCCCACCTCATTTTGTCCTAATCTCAAAGACAGCATTTACCATGCCAATAGGATCAAAAATAATCTTTTTTTTTTTTTTTTT